TTTTCGGTGCAGGACATGTCGTTTTCAGTGGATCATGCGACCATAGCCAGTGAGAAGGTGGCGGCCAAAATTGACCAGATAATTGGACCAGTTGTGTCAGACCCGAAAACATGCATGCAGGAGTTATTGTCCATGGGTCAACTCCAAATGGGAACCAATTTGTACTACTGGACATGCTCATTTTTCAGGGAAAAAATAGGGAAATATTGGACATGCAAGAGACCGTGAACCTGAAGTTTACATGGATTGAGTGGAGCTGGCAATAGTATATGCGAGGATAGCCTCGGTGATTGCTTTGTTTATGCAGCTTGCGTGGAGAGTCGTGGCACGGTTTCACATTCCTTGTTGGTATTAATGTTTATGTTTCTATTTCATACTTTTTAGGTAAAAACAGTTTCATATGTGCATTCCATTATTGTTTGTATTTGTTTATATGTGTACTGTTTGTATTTGTTTATGTGTACTGTTCTTATGTTTGAGTTGGAAAAATTGTCATTCTCTGTACCGTAATATGCACTGTAACCACCAATTTCCATGTACTGAGAAATCAATTGTTTATGTACATTCCATTATTGTTATTCGTATTAGATTTGCAGTATTTTTGCAAATCTAAAAAAGCCTGTAGTTTTTTTGTATAATTGAGGTGAAAATATGTACTTTAGTAGGAAAAAATTTTTTACACTCACAAGTTCACTGTCCATGTATTTGTTTTACGTGTATAATTTGTACACGCTGTACTTTAGTAGGTAAAAAAAATTTCCCTCTCACAAGTTCACTGTCCATGTATTTGTTTTACGTGTATAATTTGTACACAATGTACTTTCCTTTTGACTATAAAGGCCAAGGCCAAGCAATATCATTTCATTGCCTTAGAAAAGCATCATCTTCTATATTTGCCTTAGAAAGTCTATGTATGGCAGATTTCGATCTGAACTGCGATGCATCAAACATCTGATGGCGATGACGACATTGACGACGAGGCATTTATGGAAGAGCTATTCTTGGATATGATTGAGTGGTTTCAATATTGTCAAATAAGTGAGGTAAGTGTATGTAACTATTATCGTGAACAACGACTTCGTATTTCTCGTTATCCGTTCACTCGCAATGGGCACATGTTTATGCTAGATGCTATGAACTGTAGCCCGCACCAGTGCTACGCGGAGTTCCGCATGTACCCCGCGATGCTGCGAGCATTTACACACGTGCTACGCGGAGTTCCGCATGTGCGGTCGTCGCAACGAATTCAAGAGAACAAAATAGGATATGCTGCCCCATGGATACATGAGAAATTGTTCAAGATGTTCAACCATATCCAGTGTTTTGTGATCAATGTACCATCCAACTTGTTTAAAAATACACTCCACCAACATGACCAATCCGAGTTTAAATTTATCATCCGCATTTTCACACATATGAAATGCTTCGAAAAGCATTACCATAGTGATTCTTCTCATCCCGTTAAAATAAATCCGTCTAAGTTGGTCGTCACTGAAGTCAAGTTCGAANAAGGAATTCCGACATAGAATGTCCTCGCGACATGCGATTTCAATTTGTGTTTCACATTTGTACTTGCCAGCACGATAGGGAATTGTCATAATACAAGAATCTTGTCTAGGGTTATACACAACCTGGATATTGACTTCCCGAAACTGGGTCCTGGAAAATATTATCTGGTTGACTCGGGGTTCGTGCATCGACCTGGGTACATAGCGCCATATAAGGGTTCGGATATATTGTACCACTTTCAGCAATTTTACGACGTGGCGACTAGTCGTAGGCGGAACTTTTGAAATGCACGGGAAAAGTTTAATTTTTGGCACTCGTCGTGCAGGAATGTAATCGAACGCGTGTTCGGCGTGTGGAAAAATCGTTGGAAAATACTCGATTGGATTCCAGTTATAATTTTAAAGTACAAACAGCTGTTGTAATTGCAACTATGGGAGTTTACAACTTCCTTCGACGAGCGGGTGTGGTGGATGAAGCATTTACTAGAACGAAGACGGACCCCGACGTAGCGGAGGTGGACCTCCTGGACGAACGGGAGGAAGTTGCAACCGAATGCATGCACCGGAAATCCAACGAAATGAGTGGGATATGTTCCGAGATTAGTTGGCACATCAACTTTGAATGTATTATGTAGAGCGTAATTTTATTATGTCCCACGTTATCAAGTAATTTTTTAAAATTACTTGGCACATCAAGTTTGAATATTATTTTTTTAGTGTAATTTGATCGTCGTGGCCGTTATGAAGTACTGAAATAAAAATTAGCGATGTTGCACCAATCGTGTGAATTAATGCAACGAAATAACAGGAACAATATTTCCATTTTTCACGTCGGTATAAAAATTGATGGTAAAATAAAGGGAAAAATGCACGTTACCCATGAGGACAAACAAACATCCACAAAATTTATGATTAATGGTTGGACCCATGCTAAAACTTTTGCAACCATGGAATAGTCAAATATGCTGTTGTAATAATGACTAATTTGGAAAAGGGACGGAGGTCATTGTTGGAAAGTAGCTCCCTTGTTTGTCCTTCACCAATGCTTCCACTGTACATGAAAGTGACATGAAAATCAATTCTTCAAAATCAAGAATCCCTCCCAGACAAGGGCTAAACAAGAAATAGAAATCAAATTCTGCTTCATTTGCGTCCAATAACAATCTCTAAGAATTAAACACATACCATTACTGAAATAAAAGTAAACTACTCTTACTGCTCTCACTAAAACTATAGCTCATATGCCGACGAAAATTTTAAAATGACCGTTACTGAGTCTTCTACACTCCTAAAACACCTGCATAGACATGTATATATGATTAGTGGCTCCAGAGTCTACTACCCAAAAATTTGTAGAATCAACCACCAAACATGACTCAGTAATAAAAAAACTTACCACTCAATATTTTTAGATAATGAAATTTTGAATAATTACAAGCTGTTCACATTAATTATATTAACATACTGTTCAATTATTACGATTTTTCTATCCATAAAATTGAATTAATAAAAAATCAGTGTTCAATGATATGCATCATATTCATAGTATCACGAACGATGTCACAAATAAATCTATATGTCATGATGTCTAAAACAATAATATTCCAAATAATAATTTAAAGCATTCATGATCAATAAATTAACAATTATTTGTGGTCCTTTAAATGACTCAAGAATTAAATTAAAAACTATCTCAAACCCAATATATAATCTAAATCTCCAGCTCAAAAATCTCTAGGGATTCAACAATAACATTCTAATTAGCAAAAGGACTTCGCCATCATACCTGTAAAAATTTAATATCGAACATAAACCATGTAGATTGTTGTCTGCCCGTGGTAAACGCTTTCTGCATGGGCAGACAGCCCGTCTGCCTGTGGCAAACGGTGGTAGTATTTTTTTTTTTTTTTTGCTGTAATTTCTTGATCTTCTTCATTATGTCTTCTAGGTCTTCAATTTTTTCAAAAATTACAAGAATTACATAATTCCTATATCCCGTAGGCTCACAATTTCGAATCTAATTAAAATGAAAATTAAGTCAAGATGATGGAGTCATAATCCACCTATCTTGTTATAGACTCGAAATAATGAATTAAATCAAGAACTGACCACAAATAATTGGATCACAGTTTAAATCATTCAATCATCACATAATAAAATATTCATAGACATTGGTCGACTAGAACATGCAATCAAGATTCAGAAATAACAAACACATGAACGATCTAGATTGCTTTGATATAAGTTGTTGGAATGCGGAAGCGGAATTATCCAGAAATTAAAAAAATATCTTTAATTCAATAAATAACATCGTCTAGATGTTCACATGTATGTTATAGTAAGAATTAGAGATTCGAATTTTTACCTAAATTTAATGATCAATTCTAGAATTGGATCTAAACGACAAACTTTTAGCTTTTTAGATCAAGAACTTTCAGTCTTTCAATTGCAAGAACTTGATATTTCAAACCTCCAAATCTTCTATGATATTCTTCAAAGTCAAGACTATACTGGTGGGTGGGCATCTTCTTTTAATTAAATAAAGAAACTAATTCTTGGATTGGACAATAAGAAAATATTATTTTTCTCATTTTTTCTCTCTCCAAATTTGAACACCGTGTATTACGATTCTTGTAGGATTTTTATGTCCATCTAATCTCTATTTGTAGAGATAAAAAAAAAATTTCAATCCATGTAAAATAATAATTTCAATATCAAATTGGAGTTTTAATTAAAATTCAAGTATGAGTTTTAATTAAAGTCCAAATCCAATTAGTTTACATTTAATTACTTGTGTAGTTCTAGAACTTCAATTACAATTATAATTAAGTTTA